AGAACAGGCTGCAGACAGTCTTGAGGCAGAACAGCAAGACTTGCATCGCCACACTTCATAATTTACCTGTTCTTTGTCTTGAGTAACAGCATAACCTGGTGACCCAGTCAGCGTGCAGACCAGCAAAACAATGAATAGAAGTCCTGTATATCTCCGAATCGTCCAGCGTGACAAAACAAGAGCACTGAACAAGAGGTATGTCCAAAGCGATCTAATGCTGCCATGAAGCACTGTTTCAGGGCTGAAATCTCAAACACCTGCCTGAAAACCTAACTACGCAGAAAAACGTACTTCAAAAAGAATCCACTACCAAGTCACCCCCATACAGCCGTCACTAAAGCAGCTTGCATGGAGCATATTAGAAACGTGCGTCTTCCTTAAATTTCTGGAATGACAACCAACTAGCTGCACATAGTCTCCCCAGATGAAAGACTGTCGATAGCTGCTAATTGAAGGCTGCAGTAATCTTGAAGTCCACCACAAAAGGATTATGCAACTGAAGCCTGCAAAGGAATGGGAGAAGAATAAGCTTTCTTCCAAACCAGGGATGGCATCCACTGTAAGTAAAGAGCTTTTGGAAGTGGATTGCAAATAATTGTCAGTCCACAGATCCAGTTCCAGAAAGCAGAAAGGCAGGAATTAACAAAACAGCAAGAAACAATCTGAAAAGAACCACTCCTGCCTTGGTTTTGTGTAGTGCCATACATAGGCTGGTTTATATAAGTCTTCTGTCATTATACTGCTTTGCTGCTCTGTAAAGGGTTAAATTCTGATCTTGCTCGTGACTGCATCCTTTCAGCTGAGATAAATGGACTCCCAGGCAAAAGGACCACTGGGAAATACATATGCCATGCTGAGACAACAACATGCCTCCAACTAAGAGGACAACTTGAGGTCAGCTTTCACTTCCTCAGCCTTCTGCTTCTCTTGCTTTCTTGTCACCGCTGCTAAAATTGGTTCAAGGGCACTTGAGACTTTCAGTAGAAAAGATTTTTCTCCTTGTGTCAAAACCCAGAAGGTTTATTATTTACTATGACCACACAAAAGCAGAATCTGAAATGTGAACTGGAAGTTCGTGCTATCCGAGTACCATTATTGGAGAGCTGAGAAAATAAAACAGTCCAGATTTCCTGCTTAAGGGCACATCTCCATTTTGCCAGCAGCTGCAACAAAGAGCATGTAGTTTATCATGCTTGAAAGCTGCACAAATACCCATCAGGGAAGAGATATTTCTCTCCTCTAAAATATACTTTTTTGGCTGGAGAAAGAGAGATTTGAGAACAGTTTTCTGGCTCCACCAGGAACTGCTATTCCATGTTTTACCTTTAGGAACAAGGAGCCAAGCTGAAGTTTTACCTGGAGAACAAATATTAACACATTAAAGTCTGACCTAACAAATGAATTCTCTTTAAAATCTGATCCCTATTCAACTGTAGTATGACAGAGATTTCATTACTTTGGGATTGTTTTCCTGAAGTGACAAGAGAAAAAGCTGCCCCTAAATGTCATTTCAAGTGATCATCTTCATCCCCACCTGAGGGGTTTGGGGACAACGGAAGACACCAATACTCAGCCTTTTGGGCTTTTCTTCTTCCGAGTGCTTTGCAAAGAAAAAGCCTCACCACATCCCTGTGAGGTAGGTCAGTAAGTATTATTATATTCCCTTAATACAGATATGGAAACTGAGGCAGAGAAGTTACTTTCCTGAAGGCCACTGCAGGAGTCTGTCTCAGAGATGGAACCGGGAGACAAGATTCCTTAGCAATCAGAGAATTTCCCTTTCTCTCCTGTATCTCCCCTCTTCCCCATACAAGTCTTAATGGAGAAATGAGCAACGGAGAAAGGGGCTACAGTGCCATGTTTCTGACAAATAGCAGGACTCCTAGTACTACTCCACATACACACAGAAAGGAAGATTAAATATACAAGTACCTTAGAATTAATGGCAAAATGACTGCACACATTATAAAGAAGCCAACATACAATACAAACCTAGCTTAATAAATAAGTAAAGACATGCAGCTGCAGTTGTGACTGAGTGCTGAGGGGTCCTCAGCTCAGTAAGGTCCCAGATGCCGATGGGTAAGCCCACGTCATTCCTGTGACTCTACTGCCACACCGACGAGCGCGTGTCTGATAGTGCGACCGTGGAGTTTATAGCCATCCTGAGTCACCAGTGCTATCGTGCCCGGCTGCATTCCCTCGGCTGGTACATGGCAGACTATTTCATGGTCATATGGGTCATATTTGCCACCAACAGGGTTCATCTTCTGAAGGCCATGTTTGGCAAATACACTTTGCAATTTGGCCTCTATGAGAGAGAGGCCTTCATAGATTTTCTTCAGGGTTGGACTTGGATTACTAGGCTCCACTTCTGCGGCACTCTCGGCAGTCTTCTCCAAGATATCTGCTACCTCCACAAGGTCCCTGCAGAAACTCTGGATCCCTACAGGGACAAAGCAGCAAGAAGTGAATGAAGGGCAGTTTATAGAACATACAGAGCTACGGTACCAATGACAGGCACAAAGTCACAGCAGTTTGAAAACACCTTTAAAGCTGCTAATTGATTTGAACCGTTACTTTAGTGAGAGCAGACAGTGTCTTCCACATCCTGCAGCCAAAGCTTTATCATTACATGGGTAGTAACCCAAAGACTCCCCAAATCAAGGTACATGCAGGAACGGTACATCTATACACATCAACATATATAATATAGTTATATATATATACACACAATATAGTATACATTACATATATTGCATAGATAAAATATATATATTTTTATATATATATAGTGTGTATATATATACACAATATAGTATACCTGACAAAGCAGAGCATTAGCATTTAATTTCAGAAAGTTCTTGCAACCGAGAGGTGCCATTTAGGACACTGTTCCACACCCTCTCATACAGTCCCACAGACATAAATGCTTTTGCCAAGCAACTCACACAAATGCCCGTGCACATGGAGAACAAAAACAATGGGGGGAAGCAAAAATAATACATGACCATTGAAAAGTATATCCACAAATTTATTCATAACTTAAAACTAGTGCGAAGGGACTAGACAAAGTGGTCCTTGGGTCATTTGTGAAAAAGTCATGCAGTCTTTTTCATTAGAAAAATGGGTTTAGATTGTATACATTTCCTAGAAGTGGTGTACTACACTGTGCAGAAATTTCAGGAAAATCAGGCTCCCTCAGATATATAGATGCAATAAGTAACTTAGTGGAAAGACACATTAGGAAAAAAGAGAAAGAGAAACAATACTTTGGTGATGTCTATACCTGTACATACATGTTTAAACAAGCACAGAACAAAGCAGCATGAAGGAGAAACAACAAAGGAGCAGACAGAAGCAGACTGATTACCAGCCATTTCCTCTTGCACCAGAGCCTGTTTTAATGCTCTACAGACCCCCGTGCCTCACTCTATGAGCAACTTCTAATAAAGAACCTAATTTTTCTTCAAATCTGAAGCATAATGCATCTAAAATTCAAAGAGCTAGAGAGAAAAAAAAAAAACCAACCTCAAAATCAACGGTGCTGATTATCCCAAAACTCAACAGCCATTTTATAGCACAATGGGTAGACTGGTAAAAAAATACAGCAGCTCTAATTTCAAAGCTCCTGGAATTAGCTAACAAAAAACCTCCTGAGATTCATGCTTTAAGGAGAATAACAGTTCCTTATTCTCAGAGACAGTGCTGGCAGAGTGCAACAATTAAATAGCAGTTTCTTCTCCCTTCACCTGCCTCTGTTGCCAAAGCTACAAATCCAGCTGACTTCATTGATGCTAAAATATTTATTATAGAAGTTTTAAAGAACATCTGATATAGGAACTGACAGCCTTTGTCCCAGGCAGCACCTACCTCCTGAAAGCTAGAGCAGAAGAGAAGAGGCTGTTAGTATACCAAAGGAGATCACAACCCGATGACACAGCTAAGAATATGAAATACACTCTGCCAGAGCCGATTCTCAGGATACAGAAGAACCTGTAATTTCAACCAAGTCAGTAGAACTACATTCAATTGCACTGGGCCTGTTTTATTTAAAAAAAAAATAATTTAAAAATGACAAAACTGTCACTGAGACAAACCTGATCAGACACAGCTGGACATACAGAAAAAATAGCGAGTAAGCCCAGACACCAACAGTCCAGGCCAAACAATGAACGAGGGCAGGACGGGGGGAGAGAAAAGCTGTTGATCAGCATTTTATGTTCAGGCAGGCAGGCCACCGCAGTAAACACAGCTTTGCCTCACTTTGCTTACCAAAGAGCTTAGCATCTTCCACAAACTTCTGCGTTCTCCTCCTGACATTCTCAGAATCTGCCAAAGCTTTCCGGTATCGCTCCTGTAACCACAATAGCAAGGGGAGACATCAAACAAAGAGGTAAAACCCATTTCCTGACAAGTTGGCAATCCCTTAGAAATGATTTAAAAAGTGCTCGTTTCACATCAGAAAGTCGTTATGGGCTCCTGCATTTTCATTACATGCAAACCCAAATCCCTCCCCACTGATTAATCAGCACAACTGCAACTCCCTCAAAAGACCAAGCGAAGGCCAGAAGCATTCAGGGCACAGCTCAATTAAACGCCGAATTGTCAGGCTGCTGCTTTTTGCATGACTCACTGAGGCTACCACGACACTCCTTTCTCCAGCAGGCAAACTGGTGGTCTCAGCAACAGATCTGCAACCCTCTGATTTATCACTTGGTGCAGTAGTACTCTCAGGGCCATTATCTCCAGAATTGCCTGCCTGGTGCTGTGGTGTTTAATCCTCTCCTTAGTCACACCTCTTCTTCAAAGCCCCTATAACATGATCCCTAGCCCTTCTACCACGCCACTGTCACTAAAGAGGACTTTCCCTCTCAGACAATCTGGATCCCACAAGACACAATATGCAATGTTAATCAGGACGACGCTACTGCCATTCCCTCTGTACAATGCTGCGAAGAACTGACCAGACCATCTCCAACACGCAGTTTTGCTCGCCAGGATCATACTATCAGTGTCTTGCTCCTAGGTACTACTGACAGATGGTGTTTCTGGGGAAGGAAGACTGTACTTTCACAGTGCACCCTCTCACACTTAGAGCATAGCTGCTTTAAAGGCTGCCATAGCACAGCGGCATCGTGTGTGTGTTATACAGCTTACAGAAAATGCTGGGGCTGAAAGACAGACCAAGTCAAGGGGACTGAACGAAAGACATCATGATGCCACCAGCAGCATACTCACAGTTAAATCCCGGACTTGTTCTTCCAACTTGATGGCTTTGTGCTCTAAGGCACAATCAGAAAGAGGATGCTTGGGCTCATCACGGGGATCTTCTGGGCCACACTCATCTCCTGTACTTCTTTGTTGAGCTGCAGTGCTGAAAACACATGGGGACCCCCTGAAATACAAACTAGCGACAAAGAAGGAAAGTTAAGTAACAGAGTCAAAAAGAAGAACTTTAATTTAGTGTCATTACTAAAAGCAGGCTCTCTTAAAAAAGGTACATAGGATTCTAGATAAAATTGTAGTTCATTTCAGGAAATATGGACAACTAGCACAGAAACACAGAGAAACAGATGTTTGGAAACATTCTTTTATTTTAGACTCACATGTCACTACAGAGGCTGTATACTGCTTCTTTGACACACCTTGAAAAGAGTCACATTTTCATAGGAAAACAACTTGCAGGTTGCATTTTTGCTGACCTCCCAGTACAGGTGGTCAATACTGGATGACAAACTTCATAAACATTTTTGCAAGGTAGTCTTGAAAAGGAGGCAAGTGGCATAAAGCTGTTTTTACAGTTATTAAAAAAAATCCCAAACATCCTGCGCAAAATTCAGTAAGATCTGCAAACCCATGTCACTTAATAAGATACGCAGGCAGAGCCCAGCCTGCTACCTAAGATGGTACAGTGAGACCGCACCAGTGGAATGGCTGTGGATTTATGTGCAGCAGTTCAACAAGCAAGGAAAGACATACACATCTCAAATTGCTGGCTAACAGAGGATCCAATCCTCTGATGCTCTGACCCATTTGTTCTCTTGGGTGCAAACAGACATACTACTTGGTGTATTCAGTTTTCCTCCTATGGAGTGAAAAGGAGGAGAGTTTGAAGCTTTTGCCAATCAGTTCTTACAAAGTAGCAACTGCTAGAGCGTACCTTGTGCTTTCATGTCCACTGCACAAAGAATAGTTAAGAAACCAAAGAGAACTGTCAGAGACATGACCAAGGTGTGCGATGCCCAAATATTCTGAGGCCTTCCACCAGGACCTTCACAGCTCCATTAGCTGTGCTTGGAAAAGGGACTGAACATGCCAGCTGAAAATTGTCCCTAATATCCCAACAGTTCTAAATGCTTCAACTGCTTTTACCTCTACCGGCAATGAAAGAATCCCAAAGGTAAAAAGGAAAACAAAACAAGCCCAAACCTCCAGTGCTGAAGCCTACCTTGTTTCCAATGACTTTCGCATCCTAAGTACTCTTTTCAACTAAAAAGCACGCTTGTCAGTGGTTTGCGTTGGTACAGCAGGTGGAGCTCACTCAGGAGACGACTCCACAACTTGCACATGAAATGATGAAACAACCAAAGACTCAGATAATTGGATTGAGCTCTATAAACACCGCCTAGGTGCTTAGCAGCCTATTCTATACTGTAACAATCTCACAGGTTTCCCAAAGACTAGATAATAGAGGTCTGACTGAAAACAGTTTGGTCAAAAGATGATCAAAACCATCATGCTAGACACTCTGAAAAATAAATAAAATATTTTTCCACTTCACTCTGGTCTTTTCCAGAAAACCCTTTACCTGCAGTAACAGTGCTGTCACTCCAAGAGCGAAACGAAGCGTTTTCACTCCCCCTCCTACACCACCTGCTTTTACAAACCGACCTAGACAGGACTCATTCCTGCAGCACAAGGCCAACGCCTCAGCCCACCTCCCTCTCACACCTTACACCAGGAACAGAGTCTGCAGAATAAAGTTCAATTTACTTCCAAACCATCTCCATTCAAGAAATGTTTTAGTATACACTTAACAAGGAAGGGTGTGTCCTTTTTTGGGAACACTTGGGCTCTTCCTCTGAGCAGGGCTTTCAACATCCCCTTTGATAGAGGGGCTTTGCATATACTAAGTGCACATCTACCAAGTAAAATGCAGCATGGCATGGAAATCACTGCACTGGCACAGACTCAAACTTCTGTGTTTATACAGCACAATTCAACACTGCACAGAGATGCTAATTTAGGCCCCAGAATCGATACAGCTGAGTTCATGTTACCAGGCCTGCACCATTAAGCTTTCTTACGTTTCAGCAAGGCTATATTGCTCGGGTACAATGTTGGAGAAGTGCACAGCTTTTGTTTCTGGGTCTATCAAATTGGTCATGAGACCTAAGTGCTGTTCAGCAATCCAGCTAAGCTGAGCTTACAGTGGTAACTGGGACAGGTTTGCCCCCCTTATTCCATTACTGGAGCTGTGTAGAATGTAGGTTCAGGGAGTTAAACCAGCTGAAAACTAACCCTACAAAATAAAAAGATTTTTCTGTGTCCCTGAATAGGTTTGCTGACAGATCAGATGAGCACAAGTGCCAGTACAAAAGAGAAGACAAACAAGTGAAGCCTGGTGAGATGTGGGAGGGAGAATATGTGAAAGGGAAGAGGTGTCCCCATTTGGGTGGCAGCCAGGGCTTAGACTGGTTCAGCTCTATGACCAAAGCACAGTTTAAGAGATTTGTATCTGCCCAAAGACCACCAAGCATCTTCTATCACTCCCTGCTTAGCAGCCCAGATGTTCCCTCATTTTATCTTTAATACAAGGTTGCAAAACATCCCACAACACTAATGACAAATTTCCTTTTCCCACCTAATGACATTTGCATATGCAATTTTTTTATTAAGTGAGTACTTAGAACATGATCTGTGTGTCAAACTGCTCCTTTTCAACACATTACACTCCAAACACAAGTCTGAAAGTGCTCCTTCAAGTGTACCCTTGCTCTAAAATAGGACATTCCTTGCACTAATCTTTAACGAACCAGGTGAGGGGTTGTCACTAGGATCTTTTCAAAAAGCTCTCCTGCCACTGTAGTTCTGAGTTCCAGGAATGCCAACACAGAAGAAAACACCACATTTTAACCCTGGCTGCAGAGATATCTGTTTGGGGTACAAGACACCAGCTTGAATGATTTTTAAGATACTCGTTATATTCATGTTGTTGACTGATTAACATCGCACTTTTTCACCGAAAAAGTTATAGAAATTAGACCATACCAGAGGTGAAGACAGAGGACCCCTTCAGCAAGCCTTCAGAATCAATCCATGAAGCTTTAAACAACTGCAAAGCTTCCTTTGTCAATAAAAGGTGTGTCCATATAAGCACCAACTACAAGCTTTGTCCATTATCATCTCACATTTCATTTAAAGAGTTGCAGGGATGGAAATTAGCCATGTTACAGATGAACCCAAGAACCTGAAATACAGCTGAGAAAGCAGCCTTGCTAGGCACCTCACAGGTTAGACTCCTGTGTCTTAACAAAGCTAAACAAATGACTTAACTCTTTTGCATCCAAGAAGCAAAGGTTAGTGAGTTACTTCCCCCTGACAGCGATTTACACTACACAAATGGGTGTGTTTTGGTGTGTAGGAGGAGAGAGGCATGAATGAGCTGGTGCCTCAGCTACAGGGACCTGCCTACGTGAAGCAGAGAGCTGCCTGCATGGACTCCTTTCTCCAGCTTGTGAAACCAAGTCACAGAACACTCCCCCGTGCAGTGAAATGCCCCGGGTATCACGTGCTGTTCGGACAAGCCTGCCTTAAAAGTTGTAGGCAAGAAACAAAAACCACAGACTGACTCCAAAGGGAATTCTTAAGAAGGACTATTATGCAGAATTGAAAATGCCACTCAATTTACTTCTTTCTCGGGGATGAAAGAAATACCCCACTAAAAAGGGCAAGTGCTATTTACAGTCTGGTCACTGCACTGTGCTCCATCTTCTAAACAGTTGTGATCACAGCTGCCCCCAAAATAGGCAGAAATCCCACTGGAGGAAGTTGACACATCCTAAAGCGACAGACACGTGGAAGTCCCAGAGCATGTGAAGGGATTATACAACTCAGCTGGTCATACAAAAAGATTTATTAACTGATGTCACAGAAAGCCAAATAGATAGATGTAGCAGAGAAGTTGATGGTAGCCATATGGTTTATGACAGTTGCCCTTAAAGATTAGAATTTAAATGAAGAGAACAGATCCCTCTGCTCAGAGCAATAGTATCATCTCTTTTTCTGGAGCACAGGCATGATACCTGACCATTACAAACTGACTCTGTCGTGCTCCCTCTGAACACAAGGGTCTTACCCCATATCTCCTTAAACACTTCCCCCTCCTCCTCCTAAATCAGCATGACAAAGCATGCAAGTACTGGGATACACCTAAACATCTGCATCAGTGTTTTAGCTCTGATGAGCCTGCTTTGGAAGGAAATCTCCCAATTACTGCGCTCTGTTTCATCAGGGAGCGATACCAGAGATGAACATTATGTGGATTCCTCTTCTATGAAACTGCAGAACAAGCTTGTGCAGCACACCTTAACGTGGGATGGCCATAAATGGGCAGTAGGCTCCCAGACTACAGCGAGTCTGGGGTAAGAAGCCCCCGAGATGTGTACAGCACAGGTGTCCAGGCACCACCACCCACCACTTTGCTGCATGGAGCCACTCCTCACGGCTGCGACACAGGCATGGCCACAGAGAACTTGCGTACAAAGAGGAGTTTCACAGCGATGGAGGATCTAGCGATCCTCCACGAAGGAAGGATGCTCAGCTCCCGTCAGTCCAAGTCACCTGTTTCAAACGTGGTGCACATTTTGAGAGGGGCAAAGCAGTTTTCACATGTATAAAAGAGAAAGGACTTTCAGACGTGCATCTTGCCATATAGTCCCAAACACAGATGCTTCTATTATGTGCTGCAGAATTATTGTCTGTTGGGTAGGGTTTATTTTCAGAAAAAAAAAATCTCTATCTCTAGCATGCGTTTTGATTTTTTTTTTTCTTTTTACCTGCCCACTTTTCACTTGAATAACCAAAGCACCTGTCAGGGATTTCACTTTTATAAGCCATACTCCACAATATCCACAAATGTGACTGGACACTGTTTTCCTGTCTAAATATTGACACAATTAAAGGGACCCTCTTCCCTTGGCCATCCAAAACACGCTAAATGTACAGGCGCTGCATCATTACCAAAAATCAAACCAGAGGGACACACTAAACATGTAGTTCGTGACTAAATGGCTCAGATGGGCGAGACGCAGAAATCACCTGTGGATACGCGCAACGGCGGGAAACAACCTCCCAACGTCACCGCAGAAACGCTTTCCCCTGAAAATTAAAACCAATTTTTATTTTTATTTTTTTTTTCCCCCCTCAGAACGCCGCTTTCCCCGGGCAAGAGCTTGCTTAGGGAGGGCCTATTTTTTGTTCCAGGCCTTCTCGAGGAGCTAAAGGCCGGCGGCGTGTCCCTCACGAGGGGTAAAGCGGAGACCCCCGGTAAGGGGGCGGGAGGATGACAACCTCCGGAGGAGGATGGCGACTTTAGGGGGGGAGGTGGCGACCTTCCAGTAGAGCCCCACGCCGGCACACACCGCCCCGGGCCCGGCGACGAGGCC